TTCCACACACTTTCCAAGCCCAAACTCTGCCTGTCCACTTATGATTAATTTCTAACCAAAACTATTTGTCCCAAGGGATCACTGAGCATGGCCATAGATACTAGCTGTGATGATATGTGTGATTCCACCCTTCTCCTGCTTTTCACTTCCTTGATGCTTTTTTTCAAAATTGGCTTCTACTACTGCAACAGTTTTCTTGTTCTGATCTGCCCAAGGTTTTGTCATCTCTATTAATGTGTTAAGTCTCCTCTCTGGAGCCCTAAAACCAATGAGTCAGTGCTGGGTATAACAGATGATGCATCTTGTGGTGTACTCTCCCACTAACACATATTTAGCAATGCACAAGTCCCATAGTGTAAAACCTACTCTTGTGCCTTCATTCTTAAGCCTGGCCATTCCAGGCTCAGGGTTCGAGGATCTGGTTCCTTTAAGGTCTGCTTTCAAATTCACTTCCAAAAAATATGATGACTTTGGCTTTTGTAGTGGGAAGGAGAAATTGGAGAGTGAGAGAAATGGAGATAAGAGTGTAAGTGGATGGGATAGTGCAGGGCTTTAAATGCCCATGTCTTGTTGGCTAGAGGGAGCTTTTTGAGATGCGCCCCTCCCCCTCACATATCTCTTAATGTGTAGGTTAGTAACTGGTTTGTCTTTTATAATAATGCATCATATTCTTTGCTCAGATTCGTGAATATCTTTCTGAAAGCAGTTTATTGTATTATTATAATGTACACTTTATAATGTGTACTTCATGTATTTTATAATAATGTATACTTTATAATAGCACATTGTATATGTCACAATGATCTATTATAGAGAATTCCCTTAATGTATATGCCATTATAGAATAGCCCCATAAGGGTAGCCCAGTAGTTTTACAGCTGCAGCTGTAGGGGAAGGTCTCAGAAGTTTGAAGATGGTGGTTTGCCTAAGGCTCTCCAGAACAGTACAGTCCAAAGACATTTCTTCTTGTTATTACATTAGACTAGTTGCTGCTTGTAATTATCAATGCAAAGGCATATATATTGCAAGGGCATACAGAGCATTTACCAGAGAAATTGAGTTTGATACTGGAATTTTGTGTGTGCCTCAAACTCGTCTTTGTATATCTCTATGCAGGCTAAGGCTGCCTTTGAACTCATGGCAGAATTGAGATTTGAATAGAACTTCTTTTGCTTGGTCTTTTAGCTGCTGTGCTGCATTAGTTCTTATGTGGACATTGAAGGTACATGATTAAGTGTTTCTGATTTCTTAATGTTGCAGATCAACAAACAGAATGAGCAGATGCATGCCCTTCTGGCCATTGCTCTCACCATGTACCCTATGCGCATAGATGAGAGCATTCATCTGCAGCTCCGGGAGAAGTATGGGGACAAGATGCTGCGTATGCAGAAGGGTGACCTCCAAGTGTATGAAGAGCTCTTCAGTTACTCCTGTCCCAAGTTCCTATCACCTGTGGTTCCTAACTATGAGAACATGCACCCCAACTATCACAAGGAGCCTTTCCTGCAGCAGCTGAAGGTCTTTACAGATGATGTCCAGCAGCATGCCCAACTTTCCACCATTCGCAGCTTCTTGAAGCTGTATACCACCATGCCTGTTGCCAAGCTGGCTGGCTTCTTGGACCTCACAGAGCAGGAGTTCCGCATCCAGTTGCTGGTCTTTAAACACAAGATGAAGAACCTTGTCTGGACAAGTGGCATCTCTGCCCTGGATGGGGAGTTTCAGTCAGCCTCTGAGGTGGACTTCTACATTGACAAGGTCTGTTCATTGGTTTACACCTCTCTAACCATTTAGAATGGCATGTCAAACTTCTTAGGGTCCAAAGGTTTAATATAATTTCAGAGAAGCTCAAGAGGTCAGGGCACATTCCAGTGGTGGGCTGGGCCAAAGATAACAGCATCATTTAGTTTGAAGAACTTATTGCCAGTAACTAAGCCATGGGAGAGGCACTTCAACCATTTACAGTGGTACCTCGGCTCACGAATGCCTCAGTTCACAACCAAATCGGGTCATGAACAGAAATTTCAAGAACATTTTTTCTCAGGTCGTGAACTCTGCATTGGGAGGCGATTGCGATCGCGCCCGTCTTCCCTGCACGGGCACGATCACGGTCATGCTGCGGGGGAGATGGCCACAATCGTGCCTTTCTCCCCCACCAGCGTGCCCACGATCGTGCCCATCTTCCCTGTGATTAAAAAAATATTTACAGAATGGATTAAACTTATTTACATTGAACCTTATAGGGAAATTTGACTTGGCTCACGACCAATTTGGGTTGCAACCAGAGTCGTGGAATGGATTAAATTCATGAGCCCAAGTACCACTGTCTGGTGGAGTGGTGAGACATGCAAAAGCCATGAAACCAACAAACAATTGATGATTGGGGTGGAAAAATAAAAATCACTTGGTTGTTTGGGGAAAGGGAAAGGGCTACCTAGGGAAACCTAGAGGGCAAAATAAGTTCCTCAGCCTGACTAGATAAGGTTCACAAATGTGAGGTTTGGTATCCCCACAGTTGGAGAAACTATTCTTGTCAGGGCTAGTCAGGATGCGAGTATGCATATCCCTAGGTATCCACTAAATCCCCAGGTAGGAATGAACTCTTCATAAATGCAGGGCCTAGGGTGGGAAGAAACTAAACTGAAGAACAAACTAACTGAAGCACAGAAGTGAGAAGCTTGCCCAAGCATACACATGGAACTGCAGTGTCAGCTACAACAGAAGGTGCATTATCATACTATACCATCAGCCTTTTAAAAAAATATGAAAGGGGATGTCACCAGGTTATTATTCTTGCCCAAGAGAGTTCCAAATCTCTTCACTACCCTAAATTTCTCTCCCACAAATATATCAGAATAGATGGAGATGTATAGATGGACATACATAATCAAACCCATTTCCTTTCTCCTTTGCTTGATTGCAAGGATACTGCAGATTGCAGTCTTAACCAAAACAAAAAACCAAACACAAATTCCTAAGAAAACAGATCAAGACATCAAGTCGTTAAAACATTGGTTAATGTACCATGGCAGATATAACTGTCAGGCTTCTCTTTTTAGTTTGGTGAAAGACAATCTGAAAAACAACCCTAATCTTAGGCTAAATGGAATGTATAATTCCCAGGAAATTCCTGCTGTTTACTTCCTCCTATCTTTTGGCAGGACATGATCTATATAGCAGATACAAAGGTTGCTCGCCGCTATGGGGATTTCTTTATCCGACAGATTCATAAATTTGAGGAGGTAAGGCACTGGCTGAATGAGCAAGTTAAATTTAATGAAAAATAAAATACACATAACTTCTAGAAATTTGGTGAAGTGAAATGTAATACCATTTCCCTTGGGGAAGAGGCATCTTTCTATACAGGGGTGGCTGAAATTTCAAAAGGGCATCAGATCAGTTCTAAATGAGTTTGTCATGAATGAAGAATTATATGGCATTGCTGCCATCTTTCTGTGAGATGAGGGAGTTCTCCTTATATACTCTCCTCTTGCTCTTTCTGTTTGCAGAGGGCTATTCCAGCTTTCCTGCAGAGGTCACTGCATCTCTTAAGAGTCCATAGGAGGGAATGAAAGTTCTGTATGAAGAATGGCCATTATGTTATTTTCACTGACATTTACTTATTCAAATACACACACACACACCATTTTATAAGCTAATAGTTATAGCACCTAAACATTTCCAGACTAATGGTTGGGAAAAGCCAGAGCAAACAACTTGGTTTTTAATAATCATCAAAGCACATGATTATCAGTGCCTGATGTATTTGAGCTTAACAAATAGTACACATGTGATCATGAGTAGGAGGTATTAGATGGACACCAATTGGAGCTGTCTTGTAAATAAGCCTTGAATAGTTATTGGTCTGCTGGGTTCTGGCAGAGGAGGATGTAAAAGCTGCATTTTTATGCATTTCCACTCCTTGAGTAGCCTCCTTGGCTTCTATGCTGAGCAGAGAGGAAGCTTGTTTGCTTACCTATATGCAGTTCCTGGTCACTTACGTCTACCAGAATAGCAAGGGTGGCTGGGTGTATCCACTATTACTTTAAAATATAAGAATAAAGATACAGGCAGAAGTGTTTTGAATAATTGATGTATGGGGGAATATGAAAGAAACTGGGAATATGTAGCATAAAGGATTTGCTCAATAAATGGGAATGGGAGATAGTACAGCAATATTTAGTTTCCTGATAAGATAACCACACACACTGGATCTCTCTCTAAACTTGTACAACTGTACAAACTTCAGTATGGTGTTGCAAACCCTTGTGCTCTGATCTTTCTTTCTTTCTTTCTTGCTTTCTTGCTTTTTCTTCCTTCCTTCCTTCCTTCCTTCCTTCCTTCCTTCCTTCCTTAGCAGACTGCAAACCCTTGTGCTCTGATCTCTTATTTATTTATTTAGCGGACTTATATGCCGCCTCATTCGCCTAAGCCTCAGGGCGGCTTACAAATAAATAAATATCATTAATACAATAAAATGCAGTTGGAGACATCCTGGCCAAAGTTGTTAAAATCAATAAATAAAATCAACAATTAAAATGCCGTTTACATAAAAAGGTCTTGGCCTGGTGCTGAAAAGCAAATAACGATGGTGCCAGGCGGACTTCCCCACCTTGGTAGTTTCCCCAAATCTCCCCACCTTGGTAGTTTCAGTAAGTGGGTCAGATTTAATTTTGTTCCTTTCACTGTGCTCAGCACTCCAAGTGGGTTTGCATGCTCTAGATTAGGGATGCATACTTGGGGCAGTGGCAGTGAAGGGCATTTGTGTGTGTGTCCATCTGTGTCCCAAATTCTCTTGTAATTACATGTTTGTATCTTTCAGCTGAATCGTACTCTGAAGAAGATGGGCCAAAGACCTTGAACATCTCTTTGAAGCAGCTGTCAAGTTGCCCAGCTTTTTGTGTTCAGAGAGCAGAGGTAGTGGGAAGGCAAGATGAGCTAAGAATTCTGGAATTTTCTCTAGTGCTCTGCAGTTTTTGCTTGGATAGCAGATGGCTGAGCTCTCATAGTGGATTAATAAAGCTAATTAAATAATTCAAATATCTATATGTCCTTTGTGTCCTCTATATGTTCTCAATGCAATCATTTCTTGCTTCAAGAAGAGATGGCTGGCCTTCCAGCTTCCTCCATCTAGGAAAAAAACCCCAAATGCATCAATACAAGATGGAGAATACATGGCTCAACAGAACTGAAAAAGATTTGGAGTAATTGTGGACAATAGGCTAAACATGAGTCAACAATGCGATGCAGCTGCCAAAAGGGCAAATGCTATTTTGGGATGCATTAACAGAAGTACTACTTCCAAATCACAAGTAGTACTTTCTCTACACTCCTCGCTAGTCAGACCTCATCTGGAATACTGTGTCCAGTTTTGGGCACCAAGATTTAAGAAAGATCCAGGAAAATAGAAAGGGTCCACAGGAGGGCAACAAAAATGATCCAGAGTTTGGAAACTGCCCTATGAGAAGAGACTGAGAGAACTGGGTTATGCTCAGCCTTGAGAAGAGAAGACTGACGGGGGACATAATATCCCTCTATAACAACCTCAAAGGCAGGTGCAAAGAGGAAGGCCAAGATCTCTTCTTGCTGATGCCAGAGTGTAGGACATGGAACAATTAATTCAAGTTTAATAACCCAGATTCAAGCTGGACATCAGGAAAAGCTTCCTCACTGTCAGAGCAATAGTATGTACAATGGAACCAGCTGCCTAGAGAGGTTGTGGGCTCTCCCACAGTAGAGACATTCAAAAAGAAACTGGACAGCCATCCGAGTGGGATGGTGTAAATTGGCGTCCTGCAACAGCAGGGGGTTGGACCTGACGGCCTTCTTGGCCCCTTCCAATTCTACTATGATTCTGTTCTATGATCCCTTTGAAATCCTAGCTTAGCTTTTACGGCAAGCCCTTTTCAGAGTCATGAAGCAATGGTTGACAGGCAGAGAGTGCACATGAGAACGCCAGTGCAGCTGTTTGTCACTATCTTAAAAGAATATACATGCTAGTATCAAAATCATAGTCAAATTTGGATCTGTGTCCTTCCTCCTGTAGCATCACAACATATCAAGGAGATCTGGCCTGCTGTGAGAAGAGAAGCTAGGTGTGGCCTAGGCAATTTTTGGGGTGCTCCATAGATTTTAACCAGCTTTATTTGAGAGTATTATGCAGCTCTTAATATATTACTATCCTTAAGTGTAACCAAGTATCCTTTTTGTTAAACCTACAGTGATAGTGAACTGATATAATGCAATTCAGAAGGTTTCATCCAGATTTTACTTTGCTTTCTCAATTATATTGAAATTTACATTGATTTTCTGTTCCCATTTAAAGTCTTCTGCAATGTAGAAGATAGCACTAAAGCTGCCATTAGGTTCCTTTTGTATAAAACAAGTTCAATTTAGATGGCAATCCCATGCACACTTACTTGGGAGTAATTGCAGAAGACATCTATTTCTAGTTGCATCTTGTGGTATAACCTCCAGTGTTGAGGAAGGTTTATTACATTGATAAAACTAAATTACTGAAGCAACACAAGCGGTCTGTTTCATCTTTCCGCAGTGGAAACCAGTTCTGTGAAGCTATCTATGACTGTGTCTTCATCTGTAGGCTTGGTAGGAGGTTAGCACCTGTTGAGAAACATACTTGTGCTGTCTGGGTTGTGTCTTTTGATTATTTGTGTGCACACATAAGTGGCAAGCAGAGAAGGCAAAACATAGTGGTCTACCGCATAAGTAGAAAACTATCTTGTTCATAATTTTACATCTGAAGAGTTGGCTCCTTTTCTATTTGAGCACCACTATAAGTTTCTTGTGCTTGATTTTCTCACCACAGTTACTCAGTCTGCTGCCTGCCTGGTGCTCTAAAAAATAAGACCCATGGAAAACTTGAGTTTTGGAAACAGAATATTCTGCAAATACTCATTTGCACTCAGTTCCAGAGCATTTTTGTGTAGAATATATGTAGCAACTACTAATATATAACTGAAGAAGACTTAAAACCTTGTGTCTGTGGCCTTTTTGAGATAATCTTTCCTACTAGTATTGATAGTAGGCATTTGCAAAGCATGAGTCTTGAGGGAAGATGGTCTGCATTTAACAGGGAACTTCTATTAACAGGAGCACCTGGAGGGGTGCCAGAAGTTTATGTACTGTGCAACAATTTATTGTAAGCCCTTAAATGATTAAGGATAAATTATTACATGGTTCTTAATGTGGTGAAGTTTTGTAAAGAAGTGAAAGTTTGGCCTGATGGTATCTGTGCATGCCTGTAGTCTCATAGTGACAAATCAGAAGGAGCAGGACTACTTGTCCACAGCATGCATTAAAGCAGAGATGGGCAGAAAGCAGCCTGGGCTTTATAAGGAGATTTCTGGATGATTTGCAGTAGATTGGCATGAGGTTTTTTTTAAAAAATCACACCTAAATTAGACTGCTGAAGTGAAAAATGCTTGAGGTAATGAATGCATTTTTATGTTAAAGGACAATCAGCTCTGGTACAAAAACAAATGTCTAGGTTCAGGATGTGCTTGGACTCCCTATTTTTCAAAATTCTAAGTGCATGCCTTTTGTTACTGGCTTTGGTTACTGGATCTCAGGGTTCAAGTAAAGACAAAATAGATCCAGCAAGTCTGTGCACATGTGTGGCTAATACTCAGCGAGTACAACATGTGGCCCTCAGGACCAAAAAGTTTGTTTACTCCTGTGTTACAGCTATGTAACACAGAAAAGTCAAAAGATAAGGAGTCTCTCAAGGCTCGTGCAGGCTTCAGGAACATGCAGCGAATTAGGAACTTTGTGGAACATTCCAAGCGTTATGTTAGGTTTGCAGCATGTGTGTTAAACACAGTAACACAAAGTGGTCTCTGCACAATACTTAACTATGGGTGTTCTGCATCTGTGTACCTGGTAATGTTTCCTGATAAATCACTAGGAATGCATAGATCATGTGTTGTATACTGTAGCCAGCATGAGTCCTGGTGTTGCTGAAGGGTTAGTGCAGGTTCACTCCACTCACTACAGTTGATCTCCTGGAAAGAAATTGGATCAGTTGCTCTTTGCAGAGGGCAGAAGGACAAGCTCTGTCATAGCCTGTGCCTGGCACCAGCTGAAGCTGAAGGAATTCAGAGCACGCAGCCGCATCAACACTGTCCAATTGTTGAAATGCTGATGAAGTTTCTGTGGAGAGACATTGTTTTTAGTTCCCATCTCTAGCCTCAGCTGCTGTGGCAGATTCAGAAGGGGGATACAGTTGAATGGGTCAAACACTTTTAGATCAGAGAGCTCTCAATAGGATTTTGGAATAAGATTGGTGGATGTGCAATAAAGTAATGTAAGTGGATGGTATAAAAGTTTTGAGCAGAAGATGCTGCAGAGCCTGGAAAACGAACAAGATTAAGACCAGTTTAAATATGATGCTGGATAAGCAAGAATTAAACCTTGTCACATACTATACAGCTGGCTTCATATTTCACGCTAGCTAATAAACCCCGACTTGCATGGGTTGAGATTGTCCTTAGCTTGATACAGTACTGCCCTCAAGCAAACTAACGCAGCTGTTGGAATTGGACACAGTGTGCCCACTCCATCTGAGTGAAGGCATGGGCACTGGCACACCTGGCATAGCCCCTATCACATCAAAGCCCTCTAAGGAAGAGGTCTGTCCATGCCATTCCCCTGAGGAGTGCTGCCCAACAGCAAGGGGCATAAATAAATAACTGTCTTTCAGCCTAATGCACTATTCAAATTATAGGCACCACAAAACTATGTTTTTGTTAGTGAAGTCTGCCCCTAGTGGCTGAAGATGTCACTGCAAGCTTCAATCATATGAATATATTATAGTTAACAAACATTAACTATAACTTATAACATTAACTTATAATTAACATATTTTTTTAAAAAAACCTTGAAGTGCACACCCTTAAGATCTTTTGTGCATGTGGCAAGTTTCAGGTTTCACACCTTTGGCACTGATGGACACATGTCTTTTATTATAGATAACTCATCAAAGTACCTGTTCCAGCTTGGATCACTGGCATGTGAATACTGGACATATCTAGCAAAGTGGCCCTTGCACAAGACATCTAATGTTTGCACTACTGTGCATACCCAGCACCCTTTGTTTAAATTGGGTCTTAAATCAAATCATGAAAGGTTGATGTAATGTTTGTTTCTTTGACAGTTAAAGCCTCTTGACAGTTCTCCCATCTCTCTTGTGACCAAAGGGTTAAGCGGTTGTTCCTGCTGCAAGCAGAGAGCAAAGTCTCAGTATGGTATTTTAAGAAGTGTTGGCTGGCTTCTGCTGAAACTCCGAATTAAAGGATAACTGGGTCATTATCTCGGGCAGCAGAAAGAAGTGGCATTTTGCATTCAGAGCCAACTCACTGACCCACAGCAGTGAACAAAGCAGGACAGCTTGCGCTTTCTCGTCTCTGTAAAGTGTGCATTCCTGCCTCTCACCATTTTTGTCCTTATACCTAAAACATAACACAGATTGCAGAACCTGTGGCCCTTAAGATGCTGAGACCCCAACTCCCATCATCCCTGATAATTGGCTAACTTGTTAGGGGCTGGTTGAATTTGAAATTCAGTAGTATCTGGAGGGGTATAGGTTCCCCATTCCTGAACTTAAAGGTTTAAAGAAGGAACTGGAAGTATGGGAGACCCTAATAACACCTTCTAGAAAATTCAAATGTCCACACGAACACAAGGCATAACCCATCAGGAAATTCTCCAGCATGAGCTTCATTGAAATGACTGAGAGCTAATCCGTCTGGTTCCACAAAACAATCTTCTCTTCTATACTAGATGGCCCTTGTGACTACATTTCTATACTTTGACTCCTGAGTCTGTACAGAGTGTAGCCATGTAATCCAAGCATTTATCTTCCAAGGAGATCTGCATTTTGATTCCAACATGCCTCCATTCTCTGAAGATGAGAAGTTGCACTTGCCACTATTGGCCTAGCTACTGCGCAGGTTGCTTGCATTTATATGATCCCAACTTTTGCTCTTATGACTGTTGCTCTCAAGACCTTTGGGTGTCAGCCCCAATGTTGATTTTAAATATAAAACAGTTTTGCAAATTGTGCTCTGACCTCTTTTCTGGCTTCTTTTTGCTATATGAAAGAGTGTCATTTAATTGCAGGGATATTTCATGCAAAGTATTAAGAGAATAAATGCAGGTTGAAAGTTCAGATTAAATTAGAGCACAATCGTATGGCCCCACAACATGTTTTTTGCCTTGTATGCTGGTTTTTATCATCTTTTCTATTTCATTTTTCCAAAATATGGAGTAGTCAATAGTGTGTTCTTGGACTAAAAACTTATGCCAAGTTCCTAGCTATTATATTATGGCTAGATCAATGGCAGATTAGTGATTCTGTGTTTTTTGTCATCTGCTTCTGACAGCAGTGCAAAGAGCTGATACCGTTATGCTACATCCTGAGATTGGTTATCCTTGCTTTTTATTGTTTTTTTATCCAGTGTTTTCAAATACCTCACTAAGGAAGTATATACCTATGATCAGCATGAACAGAGGACTCACTCTTGCCCTTCCCCAGGCTGTGTCTACCACCTCCGTTTTCATTCTTTCACAGTGATGCACTACTACTGTATGTGTGCCATGCATCTAGCAACAATATGCAAACGTGAGTTACCAGGACAGTGAGGTTCAAAACAAAATGCAATGCATGCTGGTCTTAACTATATTCTGATGCATGCATGCCTGTTTCAAGCAAGTGTTTGCTTTTTCCAAAACAAATACCGGTATATTTTGGTTTAAAGCTTGTACTACCAGTAACTAAGTCACAGGAGAAAGAGTGTCAGCCTCTTAGAATGGTGGTGGGAGCACAGAAGCTGGGAAACTGCCACATGATTAACAGTCAGAGGAAAGGGGGTAGGACACATGGTTATCTGAGGAACCAAGATGGACCTAATTGTTTATAACAAATGCTGTTGTTATAAACAAACCAAGGCATCAGTGTTTAGTCACTCAGAGTGTCAACATCCCTTCTTTAATTGATCAAAATATATTTACAAACTATTAATCTGACTAAACATTGAAGCCTTAGTTTGTTTATAACAACAGCATTTAGAACAATGACCTGATTGAAAATAGAAGTGTCCTTGACAAATATGTACTCAGGAGTGCCAACCCCCTAAGTCAAGTCCTATCAGGACATTATGTTCTCAGGTAAGATCTACTGGGAAGCAGAAGAATGGGCCTTCTGTGAAACTTTTGAAACATGTAAACCTGCACTTGGAATCAAGGAAGCCACAAACTGACTGAAAATGTATGAGGGATGGCAGCCTGACCATAGTGAAATGGCCATATGGTTTGCTTGAAGCAGTGAGCTCTTGAAGAAGAATGTAATATTCTGAATTTCTTGGCCTCTTGCCTTTGTGCTCAACCACCCCTGCCCTTTCTACTATGAAGACCACAATGGCCCCATTGTATTTGCTGGTTTTTGCAAAATACCACTGTTTTCTGTAGTTTCCTCAGAAAGTCTGGTTAACTGCAACATTGTCAGGTAACTGATACTTACAAGCCAAAAATCATGTGTGCCTTAAGTCAAGACTCTGGAACAGCACCAAGGAACACACCCTTCCACACCTATGTTGCTTGTCTCTTCATTCCAGTCTCTCTGGTCTGACCAGTATTTGCATGGTCTTCCCAGGAAAATTCTTGGACTAAGCACTAGTTTTCCAAACACCACTGAATTAATACTGTCACTTTTCAGAAGTAGTTGTCTTTTTAATTATTCCCTTTTCACCATGGGTGTTCTGGGTGCCTCCTTTATCTAAAAGAGAACACAAAAGCAGCTTATTTGCATACAATCAGATACCAACTGTATCAATACCATACTGTACAGAATCCAGGCTACAACCTGTGCTTTTGAATGATAATGTAGGTGTGTTGTTAGTTGCCAGGACTTGTTTGGAGAAAAGAATCTGTCTCCAGTCTTTGGAATGGACAACTTCCATCAAGATTGAGAAGGTGATACCATCCAGTTAAGGGAAAGGGCAGAGAGAAACCACTTTGAACCAGTTCTGCAGTTTGAATTTCAGACAGAAAGAGCTCTGAGTTGGCTGAAGCATCCCTGAGGGGATGTTTCTTTGGGGTACCTGATGAAGCAGCAGTAGCTATGTTGTCTGCTCATAAAAATGTAGTTACCTCCTCCACTATGCTTTGCTTATTTATTTTCTAAATGCTATGAACATGCCATAATAGCCCAGGGATGTTTCTATCTCCCCTCCCCCCCCATCCCAGATCTTTAGTGCCATCCCTAAAACTTTTCAGCACTCAAAATGTAGGAAGCCAGTCCTGCTGCTTTAGGAGTCCAATGTGTTCATTGTGCTGAGTGAAACCCTGGTCTTCTGCTCTAAAGTCCTGCCCTGACAGCATTGTGCAGGGGACAAGGCAAACTGGCCTGCAACTCCCAACAGTTCCTCACCATTGATTTATGCTATGTAGGGCTGATGAGAGTTGCAGCCCAAAACAGATGGAGACATAGTTATGTCTTCTACAGTAGTACAAAGTAAGTTTGGGCTGGCATTCTCAGTAGACCCATTAGTCTCCAGTGCTTAAGTCCTGCATACCCTACTTTTTCATCTATCCGTACCAAATTGTCCTGCTTATAGGCCTGGGTGCCGAGACTGATTGAGAGCATTTTGCTGCCTGAGATGGAACACAAGACAAGGGAGCTTTCCCATTCTTTGTACAATGGCCAACTGCACTGGCAGCTGAATCTTTAGTACTGACAACTGGTGACCATTGTCCACCATACTCAGTGGTCTATCTTAGCGGGTGAAAAACTGCAGCTCACAGCTTCCTTCTTTAAAACCTTGCTGCTACCAAAACTTGCCACCAAAGTCAAGCCTCTCTCTCTGTCTAATGGTAGGGCCAGGAACCCAGTGTCAGGCTATGAATGTCAGAGTGGTTGGCCCAGCCAGTCTAACTCCAACATCCTGTTCCCTAGGTGCCATTTAGGTGCCATTACCCAGCATGATTCCTCTGAACATGGAAGCTCCATTTCAGCCACGGCCCAACCAACCTATCCTCCGGGAATTCTGATAATCCCGAAACCTCGGCCTCCTTCATCATGCTCGCCTAAGATCGATGCAGGCCTTTCCGCTCCTCTCCCTCGCTGCGCAAGCGAGCCCGGTGGTGCCACTGCGGCAGCAGCTCTGGCTCTCTCGCCAGCCCGCAGGCTGCGGCCCGAGCTTTCCCGGGTGCTGCTCGATGACTAAGAGCCGCTCTCTACCGAGAGCGGAGCGGGGCTCAGGATGGGCGGAGAGGCCGCCGCAGGGACAGGTCTGAGCAGAGCCCAGCGGTGCGGCTGGGCGGGAGAGGAAGGAGGCGCACCCCGGGTGTAGTAGGAGGGGGATCGGGGAGCCGCGCGAGAGAACCTGAGCGTGGAGGGCACCGGCGGAGCCCAGCCTCCCTGCCCAGCCACGGCACCGAGAGCCACACCGGGCTCGGAGGCGCAGAGCCGGACAGACCCGTTGAGCGTCGCACGGGAGGCGCCCGAACCCGAGGCGCGCCCAGCTCGGCCGGAACCCACAAGGCAGCTGCCTCTCCTCCTCCGCTCCAACCATGTCGCCCTCCCGGGCAACGGCTCGCTGAGCCTGGATCGCACCTCTCCTCCGCCCCGATGTCGGGTCCCCGCAGCGCCTTGCAGGCCTGGTGCCGCCGCCAATGCGAGGGCTACCCCGGCGTAGAGATCCGCGACCTCAGCAGCTCCTTCCGGGATGGCCTGGCCTTTTGCGCCATCCTCCATAGGAACCGGCCTGATTTGCTGTGAGTACCGCCGGACGACCGCCTCCCGTTCCCCACCCATCCATCCCTGTCCCGTACAACGACGGGACCAGGCCCGGCAGCCCCGAGCTCGCCTGGGCGACCGGTCGGGCTCGAGGAGGAACTTTGCGGTGGCTCTTGAAGGGAGGAACGAGAGCGTTCCCTCTGGGGGTGATTTGAAGAGGGCGGTGGCAGGACAAATCCTAGGAACAGCCGCTGAAGTGGGAGAGTAGGAGCCCCCTTCCATGAGATCGGGCTGGCAGTGGGGGGGCTAGCCCAAAAGTGGGGGTACTTCGATCCCAAAGCAAAGTGAAGTGTGTGTGTTGAAAAGCGGTGGAAAGCCCAGATAGCCATAGCTGATATATTTAGGGAAGATCTGCTGAATATCTCATCATTCTGCTCAATATATATTGATTCTGAATCACTATTGCCTTTTCCTATATGAATGAGAACTCCCTTACAAAAATG